TATAAAGGCTTATGTGGCTTTCGAATGTCATCATGGCGCGCAAAGACAATTTACAAGTTGTATGGAACTCAGCTTAGCCGATGTTTTTCCATATCTATGATAGATTGAAGAAGCTGTGCATTTAAATTGCAGGGTCCAAAACACAAGAGTCTGGAGAAGATGCAACAAATCGCCAGAAATATGCAGGCTACACCAGTAAACTAGCTGCGCGGGAGTGCAATCCAGATCTGGTTTCAGAAGAGTCTGGAAGCTGAGAAGTACACGGCAGACTCTCGCATCAATGATCAATGGGATGGGTCAAAAAATGCCTTCATTGAGCTCTTGAGTTGACGATGGGGGCTCTCAACCATGTCAAAAAGATGATAGGCTGTTGTATGGATCCGCCTGGATCCCAAAATTGATGTGAAGGATGCAAAAAGTACAGGCTCAAACTGAGCACCACGGTCTGTCATGATGGTAGTAGGAAATCCAATCCTTCGGGTGACAAATAACAGGGCAACTGGTTCAGCAGAGTCCAGAAAGCATTACGGTTCCACGGCTGTCAGCCGGAGGAGGTTCAACAAACGATGCAATAGTTTTGAAGAAGGCCGATACATCAAATAACAAGAGTATGTAAAATTAGAGGATTTTGAGAAATATAATTCAGTATTGTGCTCGAACCTTTTATACCTGACAAAGCGTAAAAAACGAACCATAGATTACTTTACATAAATTCCATTTGTAAGGAACTTTTATTCAAAACAGGGCTTCTTAAATATTTCGAGTGCCGAGCTAGAAACACATGTAGATTTTCTTCGGGGGCCACTGGGTTCTCAGCATTTAGATACCTAGTGTTAAAACACTGCTCAAAATGAAATTCAGATCTCATACTTATCAGGCTAAGTCAGAGATAAGATAAACAGGCCTGTTATTTCGTGCCTGCCTATATTATCTCTAGCATAGTACATAAACCTAAAAAATCTATGTTTCTTGTATAAGGTTGAGTCAGAAGATCGTTCGGTTCCATTTTTAGGATAGAACGTTTATCGTTGTTATGTTAGTCTCTTGTAATGTCGATTTGAAGCGCAGTCAGTCAGTACAGCGTATTTTAAAGGAAAGGCCAAAATGTGATTTCTTGTGGCATGAAAATTGTAGATCATACTTATCTAGGAATGGCCAGAAACTTCACCTCAAATAGAATTTAACGGGAGAAAACCCAAGGCAATATTCTTAAGTTTTTTATTATTAGGTTCCATAGTTTTATCTGTTTAAAGGTTGACATGAAAAAGGAAGGGCCTTGCAAGGTTTAAAAACATAAGCATAGCAGTGTATAAGATGGAGAAGAAAAATGAATAAAAAAACAGTTAATGGAAACGGTCAAATGATTAAATAAAGCATCTCCTATTTCATAGATTGAGACTTTGAAAACCGCAGCCTGACAATAAAATTAATAGTAAGTACCATGACAAAGAAAAAGGACATAATGCTTGAAACATTCGACAACTTCTTGTTATATCATGATACTCCTTTGCCCCCCATGGGCTTTGCCCCCTCCCCACTTAAAAAATGAACTTCCGCCCCTGGTATTTAGCATCCTTTCCGTAGTATTTGGCATTTTTTCACGGTACCAGGGATCTTTTCCGTTGTATTGGGCATCTGTTTTGAGTATTGAGCATCTTTTCCGGAGTGTCGGGTATCTCTTTTGAGTATTGAGCATCTTTTCCAGAGTGTCGGGTATCTCTTTTGAGTATAGAGCATCTTTTCCGTTGTATTGGGCATCTCTTTTGAGTATTGAGCATCTTTTCCGGAATGTCGGGTATCTCTTTTGAGTATTGAGCATCTTTTCCGGAGTGTCGGGTATCTCTTTTGAGTATTGAGCATCTTTTCCGGAGTGTCGGGTATCTCTTTTGGGTATTGAGCATCTTTTCCGGAGTGTCGGGTATCTCTTTGAGTATTGAAAATTTTTCTGGCATCTTTCCCGTAGTACTGGGTATCTTTCCCGTAGTATTGGGTATCTTTTCCTTACCGTTTGGCATCTTTTTCGAATTTTGATTATGGAGCATCTTTTCTGTAGTATCAGGCATCTTTTCTGTAGACTCGGGTATCTTTTCCGTACTACTTTACATCTTTTCTATATTATCGGGCATCTCCTTGAGTATTGAGCATTATTATCATTATTAATTTCTTAAAGTGATAGCAAATTTATTGCTAATTGAAGCCATTTAAAACAAAAGCAAAAAAAAAAAAAAATCTAACAAATCTACCTATTGAAATATGTCTAACATAAAAACGATCTTTATATATGCATACATATGAACAATTTTTTTTCGGTTCAGAATTTAAAAATGGCTTTGAAAAAAGCAAACATTTTACAACATACTAAAAGCTTTTTCGTCTGACACTCCTCAGAGCATAAAACGTCAGAATCAGGGTCCGAAAGAACACGATGAAAAATATATACCCAGTTGTGGATCGAAACAGGCCAATCAGAAAAACGCAAGCACAAGACCGGTATAGTTGACCAATCAGTGCCACGAGCCTAAAGAAAAATTACCACTGGAGTCCAAGAGAGAAAACGAACTCCTTCTGTCCACACTATGGCGGCTTTTTCGTTTTTATGTAGATCGACTCCAAAACTGCTAGATGGATAGACGACCGGGCTCTGCCAATTATCCGAAATATGTCGTCATTATAGAGTTTTGCACAATCTGGGTTGTCTAAAAGATGTTGACCTGGGTAACTGCACGCTGAACTGGAAAAACTTAAAACGATCTTTCTGGACAACGGCTATCCAGAAGACGTCATTTTATCTTATACTAAGGAGAAGATCGCAAGTTTTTTCGGCTGTTCAAAAGTTTGGTCCGCAAAAGTGCTCAGTTTATTTGAAACTACCATGGATTGGTAACACTTCCTTACGACATCATTTCTTTAGCATCAGGCATCTTTTCCCTGGTATTGAGCATTTTTTCCTTTGTATGAGGCATCGTTTGGTAAAACAAGGCATCTTTTCTATTGTATCGGACATCTTCTCCCTGGTCTTGAGCATCTTTTCCTTTGCTTCTTGAATCTTTTCAGTACTATCAGGCATCATTTCCGTAGTACTAGCCATATTTTCCGTAATTTTTGCATCTTTCCCGTATCATCGGAACTCTTTTCCGTAGTATTGGTCATCATTTCAGTAGTATCGGGCATCTTTTCCGTTGTATTGAGCATCTTCTCCCTGATAGTTAGCATCTTTTTCTTTGCATAGGGCATCTTTTCGTAGTATCAGGCATCTTTTCCATAGTATCGGGTGTCTTTTCCCTGGTAATGAGCATTTTTTCCGAAACATCTGGAATCTTTTCCGTAGTATCAGGTATCTTTTTCTTAAAATCTGACATCTTTTTCTTTGTATAGGGCATCTTTTCGTAGTATCAGGCATCTTTTCCATAGTATCGTGCATCTTTTCCCTGGTATTTAGCGGACATCTTTTCTGAAATATCGTGCACCTTTCAGTTCTACCAGGTATCTTTTTCGTAGTATCGGGCATCTTTTCTAATGTATCGGACATCTTCTCCCGGGTATTGAGCATCTTTTCCTTAGCTTCTTGCATCTTTTCAGTACTATCAAGCATCTTTTCCGTACTACTAGCCATATTTTCCGTAATTTTTGCATCTTTCCCGTATCATCGGAACTCTTTTCCGTAGTATTGGTCATCATTTCAGTAGTATCGGGCATCTTTTCCGTTGTATTGAGCATCTTCTCCCTGATAGTTAGCATCTTTTTCTTTGCATAGGGCATCTTTTCGTAGTATCAGGCATCTTTTCCATAGTATCGGGTGTCTTTTCCCTGGTAATGAGCATTTTTTCCGAAACATCTGGAATCTTTTCCGTAGTATCAGGTATCTTTTTCTTAAAATCTGACATCTTTTTCTTTGTATAGGGCATCTTTTCGTAGTATCAGGCATCTTTTCCATAGTATCGTGCATCTTTTCCCTGGTATTTAGCGGACATCTTTTCTGAAATATCGTGCACCTTTCAGTTCTACCAGGTATCTTTTTCGTAGTATCGGGCATCTTTTCTAATGTATCGGACATCTTCTCCCGGGTATTGAGCATCTTTTCCTTAGCTTCTTGCATCTTTTCAGTACTATCAAGCATCTTTTCCGTACTACTAGCCATATTTTCCGTAATTTTTGCATCTTTCCCGTATCATCGGAACTCTTTTCCGTAGTATTGGTCATCATTTCAGTAGTATCGGGCATCTTTTCCGTTGTATTGAGCATCTTCTCCCTGATAGTTAGCATCTTTTTCTTTGCATAGGGCATCTTTTCGTAGTATCAGGCATCTTTTCCATAGTATCGGGTGTCTTTTCCCTGATAATGAGCATTTTTTCCGAAACATCTGGAATCTTTTCCGTAGGATCGGGCATCTTTTCTGTCGTATCTGGAATCTTTTCCATGGTATTGAGCATCGTTTCCTGAGTATTGGTCATCTTTTCAGTGGTATCAGGCATTTTTTCCCTTGTATCAGGCATTTTTTCCGTAGTATCAGGTATCTTTTTCTTAGTATCTGACATCTTTTCCGTCGTATCGGGCATGTTTTCCGTTGCATCGGACATATTCTCCCTGGTATTACGCATCATTTCTGTATCATCATGCATTTTTTCAGTAGTATCAGGAATTTTTTTCCGTAGTATCGTGAATCTTTTCCATTCTATCAGGCATCTCTCCCGTTGTATCGGGCATCTTTTCCCTGGTATTGAGCATCTTTTCCTGAATATCGGTCATCTTCTCAGAAGCAACAAGCAACTTTTCCATAGTATCGGGTGTCTTTTCCCTGGTAATGAGCATTTTTTCCGAAACATCTGGAATCTTTTTCGTAGGATCGGGCATCTTTTCTGTCGTATCTGGAATCTTTTCCATGATTTTGAGCATCTTTCCTAAGTATTGGTCATCTTTTCAGTAGTATCAGGCATTTTTTCCGTAGTATCAGGTATCATTTTCTTAGTATCTGACATCTTTTCCGTGGTATCGGACATGTTTTACGCTGCATCGGACATATTGTCCCTGGTATTACGCATCATTTCTGTAGCATCATGCATTTTTTCAGTAGTATCAGGAATTTTTTCCGTAGTATCGTGAATCTTTTCCGTACTATCAGGCATCTTTCCCGTTGTATCGGGCATATTCTCCTTGGTATTACGCATCATTTCTGTAGCATCATGCATTTTTTCAGTAGTATCAGGAATTTTTTCCGTAGTATCGTGAATCTTTTCCGTACTATCAGGCATCTTTCCCGTTGTATCGGGCATATTCTCCTTGGTATTACGCATCATTTTTGTAGCATCATGCATTTTTTCAGTAGTATAAGGAATTTTTTCCGTAGTATCGTGAATCTTTTCCATACTATCAGGCATCTTTCCCGTTGTATCGGGCATCTTTTCCCTGGTATTGAGCATCTTTTCCTAAGTATCGGTGATCTTCTCAGTAGCATCAAGCAACTTTTCCATAGTATCGGGTGTCTTTTCCCTGGTAATGAGCATTTTTTCCGAAACATCTGGAATCTTTTTCGTAGGATCGGGCATCTTTTCTGTCGTATCTGGAATCTTTTCCATGGTATTGAGCATCTTTCCTAAGTATTGGTCATCTTTTCAGTGGTATCAGGCATTTTTTCCGTTGTATCAGGTATCATTTTCTTAGTATCTGACATCTTTTCCGTGGTATCGGACATGTTTTACGCTGCATCGGACATATTGTCCCTGGTATTACGCATCATTTCTGTAGCATCATGCATTTTTTCAGTAGTATCAGGAATTTTTTCCGTAGTATCGTGAATCTTTTCCGTACTATCAGGCATCTTTCCCGTTGTATCGGGCATATTCTCCTTGGTATTACGCATCATTTTTGTAGCATCATGCATTTTTTCAGTAGTATAAGTAATTTTTTCCGTAGTATCATGAATCTTTTCCCTGGTATTGAGCATCTTTTCCTAAGTATCGGTGATCTTCTCAGTAGCATCAGGCATCTTTTCCATAATATCGGGCATCTTTCTTGTAGTATTGTGCATCTATTCCCTGGTGTTCAGCATCTTTTCATTGGTATCGGTCATCTTCTCTGTAGTATCATGCAACTTTTCAGTAGTACCAGGTATCTTTTTCGCAGTACCGGACAACTTTTCCGTTGTATCTGACATATTCTCCCTGGTATTTAGCATCTTTTCCTTAGTTTCGGGCATCTTTTCAGTCGTATCAGGCATCTTTTCCGTAGTATCGGGAATCTTTTCTGTTGTAACGGGCATTTTTCTCCTGGTATTGAGTATCTTTCTTTCAGTATGGGTCATCTTCTGGAAGTACCAGGCATCTTTTTTTCAGTATCGTTCTCCTTTTCCGTAGTATCAGGTATCTTTTCAGTAGTATCTGGCATCTTTTCCGTAATATCGTGCATCGTTTCCTCAGTGTTGGGCATTTTTTCCTTACTATCAGGCATCTTTTCTTTGGTATTGAGCATGTTTTTTCAGTAGAATCAGACATGTTGTCCGTAGTATCAGGCATATTTTCCGTAGTATCAGGCATCTTTTTTGTAGCATCCAATATCTTTTCCATAGTATCTGGCTTCCTCTCCGTTGTAGAAGGCATTTTTTCCCCTGTATTGAGCATTTTTTCATTAGTATCGGGCATATTTTCAGTAGTATCAGGCTTTTTTTCTGTATTGTAGAAGTCGTAAGCAAGAGATTAACAGGTCTGTTTTGGAGATTGCGTAATATGAGAATACAATAAAATCATATGCGCAGGCATACGACGTCATACCGTAATGATGTTAATTTTAGTAATAATGATAACAAAAAATATTACATTGCTTTCTTTTTATAGTCTATCGACATGTCCATGTTTATAGTTCTCAATGTTCTGAGCTGTTCATATTTACATAAATCCTAATCTCGATATTGGAATCTTTGACTTTTTCGGTCTCCTTGGTCTGTCATCAACTGCAATCTTTTCTTGTTCCCTCTCTTTCTTCTTGCTTTCACTGTCACTAGAATCTTCCTCTTCATTGTTTTAGCTGTCCGTTGTTGGAACTCTCTTGAAATTTTAGACATTTCTTGTTATGATATTTCGTTGGTTTTTCGCGACTATCTTTGTTCCTTTTCGTTCTTGCACAATGAATCTTACTGGGCTGAACTTTGGTACTAGCTTATTTGTCCTCTTTTGTAGACAAATAACTGTATCTCCCTCTTTTATCTCTGACTCTTTCGCATTATGTTTCATGTCATAATATTCTTTGTTTTGAGCTTTCTTTTTTTCGATGTTTTCCTTTTCTTGTTTATGCTTATTAAGTACCCTCCTTTTTGGCAATTCAGGTAGTTGTCCTCAAATTGATCTATCGAATAATAGTTCACATGGAGGTACTTTCGCTGTTACATGTGGCTCGGTATGTTAGTAGGAAACCTTTGGAGTACCATACCTAAAGCTTTGGAGTATCTCTTGAATTCATTTCCATTAAATGGAGGTCCGTTATCTGTTTTTAGTTTTACTGGAATGCCATGTGTCGCAAATATACGGTCCAGCTTAGGTATTACTGCTGGTGCGGTTGTGGAATTTACGATTTCGATTTCTGGGAATTTTGAATGAAGGTCCGTTACTACGAATAGATATTGCCCTGTATTTGTAATTGGCCCATGAAATTCAAGAGATGCGGTGTGCCATGAAATGTCTACTATTGGAGTTATTTGCATTGGCTCAGGTGTATTAGCATTTCCAACTGCTTGACATGTAACACAGTTTTCGACAATTTCCCCAACTTTGTCACCAAATTTTGGAAACCAGATTTTTTTTCTGGTTAGACTTTTTGTTTATTTTATATTCCCTGATGTCCTGCGTGGCCTAGCTTTGTTGCTTTATTTTGAAGGCAACATTTGATTTTGGTCTGGCTCGAAATGTTTAGGTAAGGCATCAACTGTTTTTGATAGTCTTTCTCCTCACCAGTATCAGGAAGAGTTTTGAAAATGTTATAGACTTCGGGTCCAGCTTGATACAAAAGCAAAGCTCGCTTTCTCTGTGGTTCTTGGACATCAGCGGCAACAAATACGTTGAAATCTCTCCAGGAAGTCTGACCAGCGAGCTCCCGTGTTAGTAATGTAACTTCTTGGTTCGAGACCAGCATAGGATTTTTGATATCTTTTGCCATCTTACATTCCTTTTTCTCCTTTTAAATCGTCGTAAGCAAGAGATTGCTTAATATAAGAATACAATCAAATCATATGCGCAGCCATATGACGTCATACAGCAATGATACTACTAATAATAATAATAATAATAACTACTACACGTAGTATGGGGCAACTTTTTCATAGTATCGTGCATCTTTTCCCTGATGTTGAGCAGCATTTTCTAAGTATCGAGCATCTTTACAGTAGTATCAGGCATCTTTTCCATAGTATCAAGCATCTTTTCCGTAGTATCGTGCATCTTTTCCGTAGTATCGTGCATCTTTTCCGTAGTAACGGTTACATAGATCAGTGCCTTGTCTGGAATGAACATATGCAAATGCTTCTTAAAATATGCGAAGCACTTTTTGCCAAGAAGAGTTCTTTGTTAGGGAACAATATAAAGGCATTGTAGACTGTCATTCGATATTGCTGTTCTTTGTAAGGGAACTGTGCTGATTCCCGAGAGTCCAAACTACTAACGCTTCAAAAATTGCACCGTATGCCTGAGGCCAAGCAAGCTTCTTCTTCATATTCTTTTAAAAGCAAGATTTTGTGTTGATTGTAAATAATTTATATTTTTATGTAAACTTGCAAATATTAAATTATGACCTATGCTTTATCTATGCTTTATCTACGCAGCTCTATGCTTTAGTTATCATTATAAATTGTTAGCCTTGTAGATTATTTGTAAATTTTTGCGCAGCCCCATTTGTAAAAATCAAACATTCTGACAAAACAACCGTGGATAATTAATTTCAAAATTTAAATGAGATGAAAAAATGCAAAAAATATACCAATCCATTTTCTATACTGTTCACCGACCCCCAGGCAAAGTTGCAGTCATTGTTTCTTCAGAATCTAAAACAAAACTGCATTACCGTGAAGTTTTTATGGGCACATGATCAAAAACAGTTCAATTTTTTAAAACACTGACAGAATATTTATCGTGATCCATATATCTTCATAGACACGAGTGCTAATCCATTCTAGAATCAAGTTTCAAAAATACATTGACAGCCTGATTATGTTGCGTATATTGATTATGTTAATTATGTTAATCATGCTAAGACATTATAATACTGACCGTAAATGCTCGGTTCTACTTGAGCTGTTAAAGATTCTCCGATATAAAATGACAAAACCCCCTTATACACATGATGACCAGTTACATAACTTTCAATTTATACGTTGCTGTCGCCATATCTCAAATGTAAAAGACCTGAATTTGAATGTGAATAAAAGGAATCAGTGTTATCAACACCCGATTGATTCATGCTTTGTAAGCCAGTATAAAGTATATTCATAGTTGAGGCGGGGTGTTATCCAATCCCTCAAGGCTTTTTCTTTGATATTTTATCAGATTGATCTTTAACTAATAGAAACTTCTTGGCTTTGGATTTATAACTGAATCAAGTGACATTGACATCCCTTATTTTAAAAGAAGCCAGCAAAGCTGAAAGATGACAGGGTCACGCCTCTCTAAAAATCCCGTCTTTTTTTATACTTTGAAAAACTTATCCGGCCTCTCCGATAACTCCCCATGGGGTTTTATTAGAGAGAAAAATGGCCATATAACCAGACCCTAAATTAATTTATTTTAAATGTGCTTGGAATTTTGAATAATTTGCAGACATTCAGCGGAGGGTATTATAGTTCTTATTTGATGATAGCAAGGGTAAATAATGTTTTAGCCAATCAGCGTTATTTTTCCAACGAACCTTCGTCAACTCCTTCACAATTTACATGCAAAGTTGCCGCTCAAAACACACGAGAACATGTTGAAAATGTAAGCCCGCTTATTAAAGACTGGTTCACACGTGTGAAGCAAGAGCTGAAGCAAAAGCAGGCGTAGAAGCACAAACAAGCGGAGTGTAAACACGCATGAGGCAAGTGAAGCAAACAAGAAGCAGGAAGCATCCGCTGAAGCAAGCATAACGTGCTTCAAAGTTCTTATAACCTTGCTTCATTGCGGCGACTGCTTAAGCTTTGCGTCATGCTTGCTCAAAAAATTTTGTAGTATGAACGTCGTACGCAGCAAAAAACATGTCTGAATAAAAACTTGCAAATATTTTAAAAAAAAACCTTTTTCTTTACGTAGTATTTGGCATCGTTTTTTAGGTCTGGCACGTTTTTTAGGGACATGAACCAACAAAACTACTTTTGAAACTATGAGCTGCTAATGAAAGTAAAACTTCTTCGTCCAATTTTGTTTATAACTATACTTTTCCGTCAAATTTGATCATTTTGTTATGCACGTGTGTGCGCGGTTTACTTCACATTCTGCTTCATTCCTTGCTTCATCCAAAAAAATCCAACTGCCCATGCCTACTTCGCTTGCTTCAGCTCTTGCTTTATGTAACCCTTGGTATTTATGGGTATTATTACTCCATGCACAAGCTCGGTACAAAGGCATAAAACTCGATATGTGCAAAGCTTGTGTGCTTTCTTAACAATAACGATACTTGACTACGTTTCGTCAATAACTTCTGTTGATTATCAAAACATATTAGGCATTTAGCATTTTTTATTATGTCTAAACAAAGGCTAGAGGTCATTTCCTTTCATTGTACGTGTGAACCAGCCTCACCGCTGAGAAATCAGCATCGGAAGTAAAGCTCAAACGAACGCCAGAAATTCTTGAAGAGTATGACGATATTGTAAAAAAGCAGATTGCAGATGGAGTTGTGGAGCATGTACCGCAAATGCCGGATGGTGGGTCACCTGGTCATTCGAAAGGACGCAGAAAGTACCAAACTCCGAATCGTGTACGATTCAACTGCAAAGTCTCGTAGATACAAAGATTCCCTCAATGATTGCTTGCATATTGGCCCTTCATTATTGCCTCCCATGTCTGACATTATTTTGAGATTTCAACTCTATCCAGTTATCTTGTACAGAAAGCATACAGAAAAAATTTCTACAAATTGATGTCGACCGCAGACATCAAGGCAGTGCTAGAAAGATGGCAAATAGAAACAGTGTATGGACGGACAGACAGCAAAACAGTGCTATGTTGGTTGGCAAATCGCGGCGAAAGGAAGCAGTTTGTCCAAACAAGAGTGAATCAAATCTTGAGTGAAGACTACATTTCTTAGCGATATTGCTCAACACATGACAACTTAGCTTACTTAGGCTCTCGAGGAATGATCCCGGGAAAGCTGCAGCCTTCAAATCTTTGGTGTCAAGGCCCTACGTGGTTACTTTAAAAGGAATAATGGCATCCAAACATCGAAATTTGAAAAGATGAAAATGCACAAGAAGGGAAACGTGAGACATCAATGGTAAACACGGTCATTGGAAGAAATTCAGAAAGCTGAAATCAGGTGGATCAAATAAGTACAAGTGGAATAAAAACCTACAGAACAACAAACAAGGGAACTAAATTTAAAGGGAATGAACAAAACATCCTGACCTGCACGGGAAGATTCGACAACAGAGCAGCCAATTACACACCAAAGCAAAGCACATTGGTGCCTCTCATTATGATGGACGTCCACAAGAGAAAATTGCACATAAGGGTGGCATCTACGTTGGCGGAAGTAAGATCACGTTACTGGGTACCCAATGGAAACCAAATGATGAAGAAGGCATTGCAAAACTGTTGCCTCTGAATGAGATACAAATCTAACCACCGATATCAGAAAAGAAATGGGTCGTACAACCAATTGTTTTCATACATCAGCACGAGGAAGTGATCGAGTCTCTCCGTGTTGAGACCTCTCGCACCTAAAGCTTGGGGCTGCCATGGGCAAAAACGGTACACACACAGAAGTGCTGCGCCTTAAATTGGGCATTAATCACTAAATTCTTCAATAATCTAAGAGGCAACAGGCCTAGGAAAGTAACTGAACAATGGATTCTCTTTAACATAAACTAAATACCACGGCAATAATGTTTAACCTCCCTTACGAATGCTGCAAGTTCTTATTTCAACGGTTACTTTGAATTTTGCTATAAAAAGCAAGTTAAACTAAGATCAACATAATTGCTCTCTAATCTCAAGCAACACAGCGAGGTCCTAACATAGACGCTGCCGTGTTGAATTGATGCTGGGCTGCAGGAGCTCGAGATCGGTGCATTCAACGCACCATAATCAGCTTTGTTACAAAGTTTTAGCAGTCGACTAGGAGCCAATTGGAGTTGACTTGAATGTCTTCGCACTGTCAGAGATGATCATTTGTGGAGCTCCTCTTCGTGTCACAAAATTTTTCAAACTTCGCGGAAACATTGCTTTTACCATATCGTCTACACACTTGGAATGAATTGCTCTAGTTGTAGCATAAGTTAAAAGTGTGATATAGGCTTTCTTTATCTACTTACTTTGCTATTAGTAAATCGGGCCTGCTAGATGTTTGATTCAGCCTAAACAATCGTCCATTGACTTAGCAAGGATCAAATCTCGAGATGGACCCACTGACACCCAATAACTTCATTCACGAAAGAAGAATCAAAATATTTCCAAGAGAAGAAATATTCAGCGATGAAAAGAATAAAACAGACTGGAAGAAGATGCGAAATGTGCAGAAGAACAAGAAACATTAGTGAGATCAATGAAGCGCATAATACCTGCGCAGTCTCTGAGAATACCACAGGGAAAGTTGTAGGAGACATCGTCCTCATTAAGAACGACATGCAGCCCAAGAATATGTGGAAGCTTGGAAAGATCACGAGAACAATTAAAGGGTCTGATGGAACAACTCGAGGAGCAGAACTACAGACAATGACCAATGGGAGGGTGATGGTTATTGAACAACCCTTCAACTGTTGTATCAAGTTGAAAACAATGCCCAAGAAGATGCGGGTACCCCCGAGTAGGGGTCTGCCTCTGATGATACGATTCATGCAAGACCCAGAACAAGCCACTAGACAGGCGCACGATGCAGGCACCGCGGAGCAGATTACGTAATAAATTACCAGTAAAGCCTCTTTTTATACGTTTTTAGCCCCTCCTCCACTTTTTTAGACCCCTTTACTTTTTTTGACCCCCAACTCTTTTAGACCCTCTACTTTTCTCAGCACTCCACGGTGCCTGACACGATGTCATGAAGACACAGTTGATTTTAGAAGATGAAGAAGAGAATCAAATCTTCATTTTATTTGGTGGTGGTGCTACAAAGAACGGTATTTTATGACTTTTTGCTGCGAACAAGCTAAAGTCTTACGATAGATCAAATTATTTGATTATGACATTTTCAATTCCAATTCAGATGTTTATGAGATATCCAGTTGCTTACATAAATCAACGTAGTTGGATATGCATACTTCTTCCTAACGCAGAAGAAGTTTATCTCTATTACCTCTTACATCGGAGTTTTTATGGATTCATTAGAAAACGTTCATTTTGTGTCTTACTAAGCTAAGACTGTTTTGGCTGTAACTGAAACTCGTATAATTAGATGTTGCAACCTTAGCGTAGGCAGACAACAGTCCTACCGGCTAGAAGAAGCGCAAATGTTCTTGGTATTTAGAGAGGGCAAAGGTGTAAAACGAGATTTTTCTAACAGTAGCGTATATAGAGGGGGGTCAAGGGGGGCAAAACTCCACCTGTAGAGAAAAACAGATATTTTGTCAAAAAATTTCTGATCTTTGTCGGAAATATAAAATGGTTTTCTATTTTGATCTAAGTATTACATTTTGAGAGGAAAATCTTTTAAGGTTATTATAACAATTTCGTCAGTTGTTCTGAATCAGATGGGCATCTTAAAAGTACCTTTTGCGAAGAGAAGATCATAAAATCGTCAATTGGTATTATTCATGACACATTTGAGTAAATAATCAAACTTTTCTCCTGTTTTATTTCAGTTCTAATTTTATTATGATATGTTCTGAATCTGTGCAACAACTTTTTTGAATCTGTGTCAAATGCTCACCAAATGACATTCTTTAATGCAAAAAAAAATTATTTTGCAATCTGGTATCAAGTCTGTGCGTCTCGTTGGTGGATGTTCTGTCACTCATGTAAATGATTAAGTACATTTGAATTCACCTTAGAAAAGGGGATGCTTTCTCCTCGATTAGTTCATCTCTACTTAGATAGCTCCTCCTAAAGAAACTCCTCTGCAAACAACATCTTACAAATCTGTTATTTCTTGCCTGTTATTATAAGTATTTTATGTAATGTGTAAACCTTGTATGTAATTAGTTGTAATGTAGTTGTAGTAAGATATTGTATGTAGAGAAATTTTAAAACATAAAAAACTGAACTTAATTGAACTATGTTCAAATGTATGAAAAAACTAAAAATGTTTGCTAGATTTTGGTCGGAAAATCACAATTTTTCACACCTCCTATGAAATTTCCGGTTTTAAAAAAAATAAATTTTCCGGTTTTCGGTTGCAAAAAAATTCAGTAAGAATGATTTTAGGTTGCTCTTCTTCACAGAAGATAAATCCCAACGAAATTTTTGGTACTTAATGTATTAGATGGATGTGCGATTGAAATAAAGAATTTCTAAATTATTGATTTCAATTTTTCATCAATTTTCTACTGATTTAATATGACTCAGTGTAACTTTTGCTTTTACTGTTTAATTTTATTTCTTTTGAGATTTATTGCCTCTGCAAACTACAAAATTGATGTAAAACACTTTAATCTGAAAGTTAATGAGCGTGACGTATTGAGCTTTTGAGTGGCAGGTGCAAACACAGTGAATTCTCTCAACAAGATTTCCAACATTGTCTCTTTGTTCAATATAATGTCATATTTTTTAACTATATTTCATCGTTCCATTCGTATAATCAATGTGTAGAAAACAAGAAGTGAGAATTTTGATTTCTCGGCTGAATAAAACTGTAAATCTTTTATTGTTCAGCAATTTCTGCATGCTCTTTGCAAGTATATGTAATGGAGATGAGAGTGACACCATCGTTTAAAAATGCTATATCAAGCCAATTAAGATTGATTGGTGCGAATGCTATTAAAAATCAATAAAAACATCAAAGTCTCTCTACAACACTAATCGATACAGCTTTTCATTTTCTAAGTAAGGCAAAGCTATAATTGATTTAAAATTAGCCATTAATTATTGGGTAAGAAGGGTTACAGAAGATGAATCGAGTTCGTGGAATTTTACAAAAACGCCTATTTTTACAAAAAAAACATGGCTAATCAAATGTAATATTAATTAAAAAGTTCTATTAACTAAGCAACAAATATGATTACAACCTTTCATCATGAACAATATCTACGCTCTAGTCTATGTACAGTAAAAAGTTGACATGCCGGTCATAAACCTGCATCAGTCTTTTCTTTTAATGACCTCCTGTAAATCATAACAAATCTGCTTCTTTCCTTTGAAACCTGCGAATCATCGTTCAACTAGCTGTCGCTCAAAATATTTTCATCGACATCAAACCAGTCCGTAAAATCAATACGAATTTGACTTCTTTTTTGTTCAGACCTACAAAGCTCATGTCTAGATAAAATTTGCCAGCTTCTTATCCAAAGAACCAGTCCAACAATTATCAAGACAGAGTAACAACTTTCAAGTCACGGAATCTTCGACCAAGTCTTCTCACAGTCGTCTTCTGATCCAACAAAATAAAGATAATGTCACCATAATGAAACAAAACTTTAGTTCCAAAAATCATCAATTATTCATGAGGTGAAAATGTGATCCTAACATTCTGATGTGCTGGCTGATTTCAGGGACTTGATGAGTACCTCTGCAACATATTTGGCGACAAACAGAGTGTTTGCTTGTAAAAACAATGAGTAAGAATAATGAAAGAAGAGAAGAACGCAGAAGAGAGCTATTCCAAAAACCTGACAGCCCAAGCCATTTTCATTGTCATTGTTCTTCTGCCACAAGCTGAAAACTTAATCGGCTAGTAGAGAATGGCCAAAAACTGGCATTTTATCCGAAGGTACTGCCCCTGGGAAAATTTGCAATTTTTCGGTATTCATGGCTTTAATTTAAGGCGAAAGCCGTTGCACTGTAGAATTCTTCCGAAAAATTGACATGAATGTACTGGAAAGCAAATTCAAATACCAATGAAATATTCCAACGGCTACCACAACTCTAATACACAAATGTGTTATTCATTGGCTGAACCATGAGGTTCACCAGTTAGCAAAGTCAGAAGAAAGAAGATATAATGCACCCAGAAAATGTTTTGATATATTCTTCTTCAGCAATTTTGCAGCTTAATCACAAAAAAACGAGTTTTGTAGCTGAATCTTGAAGACTGATGAAAGCTTTTGATAAAAGTTAATCTGGTGAAGCCATTTTGTTGCCAAATAATCCACGATGTTACGGACTTAATCTTTTACAAACTCAGCAGGACAACTTTATACACAAATTTATAAAAACATGACCATTAATGTCATCTCTGAAGGTCCACTGTATTTTTTTCAATTTCCCCAATCTCAAGTTTCTTCGTGATTCGCTTAAACGCTAGTCTAACAGCAAAGTATTTTTTTACACATCATCAGCTCCAACCCTTGTCATTTCATATCTTTCTTGCATTTTGGTGTTTAGTCAACTGGCACTTGTTCTACCACCATGGTCCATTCGAGAATTCTCCAGCTCCGTTACAATCGTTGTTCTACGTAGCACATCATTTCTTCTAGCCAAACGTAGCATAACAGCGACGAATGCCGAACGGAACTGCCTGTTAAACACGTTGTAAATAAGTGGATTGATTGCTGTCGACAAGGTTGGCAAAATCTCAAAAAACATGTAGAAGATGAATAGGAAAAGGTGCTCATTGTTTTGCTTGAGACGGGCAAAAGCAGTGCGGTCTCCAAAGGCAATGTATATGTTGATGATAGAGAGCGGCATCCAGCATACGAAAAAAGCTCCATAGACAATGGCCAATGTAGCCGTGGCTTTCAATTCCCGGTTGGTGCGACGGGAACTTTTTGAGATTTTTGCATATTTCCTATCTTTCTTTTCGCTCTCTGGATTCGAAAAATGCACTTCTGTTGCCCTAATTGCACGAATTTGAACGATAGCGACCCTTAGTATGATAACGTACAGAATCCCCATGATAACAAGAGGGATCAACGTTATCAGGAAGTATGAAGTGAAGTAGAAGTATTTGTTCTCTATAAAGCATCTCGGGACACCAACTTTCTTCAGATGAATAGATAACTTTGTTGGCTCGTTCCACTGAAAGGTCGACATGGCACTCCAAATGACGGCATAAGCCCAGACGCAACAGACGATAACTTTGGCTTTGGTTTTTGTCATCGTTTCTTGATAGATGAAAGGTTTCGTGATGCAGAAAAATCTGTCAATGGCAATCACAAACAAAGTCGTGATTGTGGCAGGCGTTAGTATTAGATCAGTCAATACATACATATAGCAAACGCTCGCTGGGTGGCAAAAAGCGTTTGTATGTAGTATTGTAGAGATCCGGATAGGCGTTTGAAATATTGCGTAGCACATGTCACTCAATGATAAAGAAAATATGAAGTGGTTTGTCGGTGTTTCACGAAGGCGAGGAGACAAAAATATAGCTATACATATCAACGTGTTGCCAAGAATTGATAATACCATGACAACCGCAAGGAAAACGGCATAAGCAATTTTACCAGTGTCGTTAGTGTAGCTTCCACAGAAATCTGGTACAAATGGTGGTCCTCTGGTGAAGTTTGGTGTGCTGTTTGTTGATAAATTCATGGCTGCCGTTATTCCATTCATTAATTGAACCATTGCCAGCTAGAATATCTAGCGTCTGACAAGTTTTTAACAACAAGCAACGTTACTTAACTTTGCCAACTGCCGTCTTTTTCAAAATTTTCCGATTCCAGGGTTCCTTACCACGTTGATTTGACAAATGGTCGACAAAGTGCACATCTAATAGTCTTTATAGCAAGTCCTAAAAAGAGAATTTGAAAAATGCTCTACTTTCAACTGTCTGATGGGGTCATGGTAAACCACTATTTTAATGCAAGATAATCTATCAACGTAGAGTGAAATGAATACAAGATAGGAAGCTATCTCAGCCTATTCTTGAAACGTTTGCTATCGTTTATTCAACAAAATTTTCAAAAAATTCAAGAAAAAAGGGTTGTTTTGTAATGCTACTGGTAAAGAAATCCGCATTAGGTATCAAAAACTTTGTTTTTATCTCTATATGGGGTAAAAGCTACAGATAACTACATAGATATTTGTGGAAGGATCATTTTATGTGAAGACACGGGGATCAAAGCATAGCGATCAACAAGGCACTGCTAAAAAAAACGCAGATCAAACGCAGATCAAACGCAGATCAAACGCAGAAAAACGCAGAAAAACGCAGAAAAACGCAGAAAAACGCAGAAAAACGCACGCAAAAAACGCAGAAAAACGCAGAAAAACGCAAAAAAAACGCAGAAAAACGCAGAGACAATAATTTACCAACAAAAGTCACAGGATGGCTAAAAGAGAGCTTCTAGTCCTTTACAGAAAGACTATTTTTTGTGTTCATTCAAATGCACGAGAACCCTACTTTTATTACTTGTTGTTCGTCCAATTAAAACAAGACTTTTGCTCAATTGGCCTTTAAATACTTTTGAAACTGCGGTTAAAAGAACTTATTCTTTTGTGCAAATTCAGTTCCACTTCTACTGATCAGATAGTAAGTCTGTTTTCAAAAAGCAGCACACCTTTCAGAATAGATTGCAACTTTGAAGGTCAAATCCTAATACTTGTCGAACATTCGCAATTATCAAAGAAGTGCAAAATCTAATTCGCCATCTTTGCAATTTTTTTACGCAACGTTTCTTATTTTATATGATTTCATTTGAATTAACATCGAATATACTCTACTTCCTTTTCGCTCACTGTAGAATATCTAATTCTTTTCTAAAATATGAATTTTTTCCGAATCTTTTGAAACTCTCATGTTAAATTTATGTAGAAAATTGCGAAATATCTTTGCCCTTCGGCAACCTGCAAATCTTAAAAGACATGAATTAAATACATAACTTGAACTCGACGTTATCTTTAATGCAATAATGCATACAAACAGAGTGAAACGGGTAGACAGAGTTACGCAGAGCTTTGTATGCCAAAACATGTGTCTTTCTATTGGCTACAGAATAGTTTGCCCAAATATTAGGAAATCCCATAATGCTATTCCTATAAGCAAACATGATGGTTGAAAGTTGTTTACTTGACAATTTTGCACTCCTTCCGGGCATTTAATGACTATTTGCGACCTTTGGAAAAAACATCGATAGTTACAATGATTTTTCGCAAAATAAAAGATTTAGGAAGCATTTGACCGCTGGTTAGGAAGCAACTTGCCGCAACTCATTCACAATCCAAAACGCCATACATGATTAATATCGGATTTGCTGTATTGCAAACGCTTTCTTTATGTTATGTTTCAAAAGTGTGTACATCTGTTTTCAAATAAGACAATCTAAATGCACTCTCGATTGCTCCAAAATTTGAATCAAGTATCACTGAATTACACAAAGGTTTTCAAGCCTTTGCGATACAAATAATGAAAATTGATTATAGAATCTCTAGGTAATAAGGCGCTTCTGATCTTACTTTGTTCCACTGTGATGGTTCCGAACGGTACGAGTTCAATCAACCATGACGGCTTTTATTGAAATAAACTTTTTGAATAAATCACTATTTTCGTTGACGTAAAAACCGATAAACTATACAGCATTTTTATTGCTAGGACTTAAAACCTGAGACGAAAAAGAGGGAGATCGATAGCATTATGTTTTTATGAACAAGGTTTGGATGTATTTACATTTGGCAGGTGGTAAAGCCATAAAAGTGATCGGCGCCTAGAAGTTTACGAATGACAGGAGACATTTACGTTTGGTAAGAAATTTGGACAACGGCTAAGAACTGACCTTTGCTATCAAAATGTTTAAAATTTGAAATAAATCTTTGATGGGCATAACTTCATTCAGCAAAGTTTTCATTCAGAGGTTTTTTAACGAGTTTGGATCATCGAAGGATTTGACGCACTGGTTAGCTGAACGCAGAGTTACTGGAGACCGCAACGAAATGATATAAGCTTTGGCTTCTTATATTAAAAAGAATAGTTCTTATGTGCATCTAGAATGCTCTCTGGCTAAAAGGCGTGTGCGGGATCTAGCACCTGCCCAACATGTGCATTCCCATAATGCAACGATTGTGAAAAGTAATCTGGTCGCCAAATGGCTCAAAATGTTATGTTGAACAAATTGATGCTCGAAAAGGTTACTTTGTAATTTGTCCTTTTAAACCGTAAAGCATTAAAACTGTGCATAGATAACGATTTGGAAGGAAATCATTTAGACTTGCAATCAGGTAGTACAGGAAAGATATTCGCAAGAAAAGATGACAACTACATATGCTTCAGAAAAGGTACTATTATGAAATAAGCACAAGATGTACTGTTTAAGGCAACAGTCATTTGCATGTACAAAAGGACGGACCTGACGGACCTGTTCGGACGGACCCGAACGACTTTATTCTCCTTTGAATATCATTTGCAAATGAGTATTATATATTGTATTTACAAAAATCGTAAGTCTGAAGCATAGGGCTAATGTACTTGCAAATTGTGAACAAGTTTTATTGATAAACAATATTTGAAACAATATGAGAAAATGGGTAATATTTGGCTAATTATTCTTTGTTACGTGGCTATATAGTTTTGAAACTTCCAAAAGTCGTGAACATTTTTCAGTTGTAGAGTCAGTGTTCCCTGTTGGTAAAAGAAAGCTTTCTGACAGTCAAAAATCAAGGCTGGGCCTAGATTTATCAATTTTGTACCCCACTAAAGCCTAGTGAATGGCGCCTATATTTAAGGTCTCCTCTCAACTTTCATAAAAGATTAAGAACAACCTAGCAAAAGACCAATTTCGTAAAGGGTTGAGTTATCCCAATGTCATTCGATTTTAGCAACCCTTGACTATTATACTGCAGTGTTACAGTTAAAGCGATGTAAATCAAGTACAAAGTGCGAGCCAAATTTGTTCTTGTTCACTTGATTTAAAAGTAATTAGCGCATAAGATCTACTTAGCTTTGTTCAATGCATGATTTTCCTTTTTTACTTTTCCGTTAAGTTTCGGCGAAAGGTTTCCAAAGCTGTCAGTGATTTTAACTATAAAGATGATATTGTTATGCATATGAAAACAAAATAAAACTCTAATTCGGCGTGAGAAAATTACATTTGCAAATCTTTTGCGGACTTCTGCATCCATAAATCTTAGTTTCCATAAGTATTCGGTACAATTATTGAGAAAATTTCGTTTGCATACGCAAATGAGAAATCAACAGAGAAATTACCGAAAAAAATCGGAATTCTGTTAGATGTCTTTGAACAGGCTCTTTAGACGATTAATTTGTAAGAGGATACATTGTCATCTGTACAACATTGCTTCTTTTACGAGAACGTCTAGCTCTACTCTTCTCAAGCAACGCACGTTTCTCTAACCAAGTAGGTTTTATGACCCATTTTTACTTTAAAACTCTTTCGTTAACAGCTTTATGTACTTTTTGTTTTCCTAGACTTCTAAAAAGCTTAGGTTGAATTTGTCGGCGATTAAATTTTATACCTTCTTAGGAAGATAATAGCAAGAAATTCGACAATTTGCTTCAATCTTTTCCATCTGTTCGTTGAAAATACAAACATTTGAAAAAAGTGGATCCTTATTGTCTGTGTTGATAGTTGAAGTTCTCAACCATCCCCTCCCTCCTCCATAAAAAACTTGGTTCCAAAAACAACCCGTAATATGTTGCGTGGTCCCCGAGTTGAGACACTTCTGAAACTACAGACGGGGAGTTAGAAGAGAATATCAAAATAAATGAAAAGCAAATCAAAATAAATGAAATTTTGCTTATCTTTTTAGTTACATAAATACACGTTCACCATAATTATTCAACCATAAAAGGAAACGAGAAAAAGTTGGTCGAGTTTGTAAACAAGATAGCCAGTTCCTTGACTATTAAAACCAGTTTCCTAGTCTTATATTATAAGTTTTATTTTTTACTTCATGTCTTTTATCATAAAACATTGCTAATAGGTTTTTGAAAAGTAGATTTGTGTATGTGAAATGTTTCTCGACGGTTCTATGGTTTTTAACTCCCTGTAGAAACTTTAATGCAATGCAGTTATGCGCGGTTTATTCAGCCTCTGGTGATACTTCGTTAAATAGAGGTTTTAATTCTCTAGCTTTAAAGCTTTCGATTTGTGTTCTGAGGTTTTATACTGTTGAGAGTGTCAAAAAATATTTCGGATCGTTTCTAGAGACAGAACTTATCTCTATTAGACAGAAAATTGCTATCACAGATTGAAGGACTTTTTCTGAGTTGATAGTAATCGTGGCAGCAGCATTCATTGTTTCAATTTAATCTAATCAGAACACGCTCTGTGATAAAGTAATGGTTGAAATGCAGAAAAATGTAACAAAAAAATGTAACAAAATATCTGGCAAGATAACGCAAAGGTGATCAAGTTGCTCCATTCATTAGAATCTCTATGTTAATTTTTTAACAAGCCAGTCAGGTTTAAAAAAACAAAAAAATAACTAGTAGATAGGAGTGAAGCAAATCCGAAGACGCATTACCTTTTCATTGAATCTGCAAATACGTCTAGCGTTTGAATACGAATCACGATTAAAAGTACTCTAAGGCAGAACCACTACTTCTTAGATTTCACTTTTTAGCCGGGTGGCCGGTTTTGTAAGGGTAAATCTTTCTCTTCACTCAGATTGCTCAATCACTCCTTATTTCAGGTAAAGAAATCTAAAATAATCATTTCTACCTATTTGTAAGATAAAACTGTTCTACCTATTTGTAAGATAAAAACATGACTATTTTGAGAAACATAACATCGTATGACTTTGATATAGCAAAAGCAAAAGAATATCGAAAGTTTA